ATGACTGCTTATAAAAAAAAAAAAAAAAAAAAAAAAAAAAAACTAGAATGTTTAAATAAGAAATTTATAAGTAAGTTTCAAGTATAACAACTAGTGTAGAACTTTTAAACAAATTACTTAAAATTAAACAATAACTAAAATTGTACAAGTAATTAATTGTATACTCTTTCTATAGTTGTCTTCTGTAGTTGTAATGCAACTATTAGTTAAATGTACTATTAATAAAATCCTGAATTACAAATACTTTAATATTTTTTAAAAAAATATTTAAATTAAATATTAAAAATATACATATAATTAATTATACTTTTTAATATAAAATAACTTGTTTAAGGCTTTTAGCTATGATTTCTATGTTCTATATATAATATTAAATAAAAAAAATCTTAATCTCAAAAAAGCTAGTAGAATGTGGCAACCTAGTGAAGTGGTCAGGTTGGCAACCCTCCAAGTAGTAAGTTGAGTGTTCAAATCCTATCAATGGTGAAAATTTGGATAATCACCTTTGTAATATTCATATTATGGCAACTGTTACTAACGATTGGGTTAGGATACCTGTAATGGCGATCATACCAGCATGACTGACAGGTCATGAGGCATTCATGCAATGTTGGAGTTATATAAAAAAATGCAAATTGATAAATTAGGTGATGCAAACACTAGATAAGTCCTTGTGATCATATAATCCATTGAAATTAAGTAACAAAAAATCCATTTAAGAAGACCCGAGTAGAGAGGTAGCTGGATTTTCAACAGCCCTACTGTAAAGACTAACTTGGCGAAATGGATATTCAGATCTAGTACCTGGTCCTAGTAACTGAATGAGCAAGAACTGCTAGGTTGAGAGTCTCAGAGGTACCACCAACCAAGTTGCTAAAATGAACCAAAGGAAAAGGATATCAGGTCGATCTGATATACTGATGAACTGGTTATAATTCTACACAGGCTATTTGGATTGGGAGTTTGGTAAAAGGGTAGGAGAAAAGGTAGAGATATACTAAAATATCAAGGTTATGCTATGAAATAAATGCTAATATTTAAGTGAACTCTACAAGACCATAACAGTTTAATGATTAACCTTAATTACAAGTGTTAGTTCTGTTATAATGATACCTAATTCAACTGTAAAAATGAGTACAGAAGGCTTTGAGAGGTTTACCTCAAGAATAAATTAGTCCTAAGATTGAGGATAATGATCTGATACATCTGAAATAACTAATGATATTAATACAAGTTACAGATTCAGAAGGTTTAAAGTAGAACATCTAGGCAGAAGTGTTAGGTACGGCAATTGGTGAGAAACCTTTGGGTGAACTTCTTAAATAGGTAATATAGAAAAGTTACACATGCAGCCAATTGTATGCTCTCCTGTAATGGTTTATTGAACCACAATACCGATAAGTGATTAATAAAAGTCAAAAGACCAAAAAGGTCACCTTAATACCAAAAAAAAAAAAAACTAGTTTAATATTAAAAAAAAAAAAATCAAATCAAAATAAAATAAAATAAAAAATTTTTATTTAATTTTCTAAAACCCACTTATACTTGTTTATTATAAATTCTACCCCTAAACACTAATCCTAACCTTAAAAAAATACTAAAAAAATGCATTTCAAAAATTTGTATTTTTTGATAACTTGTTTATTTAACATTATCACTTATTTCATTTAAATCTGATTCACTTTAATCCGTCCTTAAAAGACTTATACTTTTATAAAGATTTGATTAGATTCGGTTGTAATAAACCCGGTTAATCGAATAAATCGGTTATAATAAAACCGATTAATCGATTTAAAAGTTTTTAAACCTGGCCATAAGTTATAACTGGGTAAATCCGGCTATAAATCTGATTACGATAACCGGTTCCACGTAATCTTTAAGTGTCGCGCACTATATAATTATTTTATAACCTGACACGAAACCAAAACAGAACGGCTGTTCAACCTCGAATTAATAGATCCCACTTTCAAAATTTAGAATACAAAAAAGGTACCGAAATTATATATTTATTATTAATTTTACTTTTAAAACTCTTGAATAAAAATACAAAAATTCTTTAACCTAGAAATATTCCTTACATTATAATGGAAAAACGTGATTTTTTGGTAGACAAACTGATTAGATAAGTTTAAGTTTATTATATATTTACGCGCCTATCTTCCAAGGAATTCCTTTGAGATGCTTCGCTGATTTCGCTTGTAAACATTCTATTGATTGCGTTTACGTAAGCTTTCGCACTTGCCATTACTATATCAACGTCTGTACCGTGACCATGATATGTGCTCTTTGCTAACTTGGTTTTCCCTTTTGAATCAATCATGGGTTTAATTGCACGATCAATAACATGTTCTTGTGGATTTGAATCAGCTTCGGAAACTGAATGATCAACATCCTCAGTAACTTTTACGACAACTTTTCCTAATGCATCCATCCCCTCAGAAACAGCATGAACTTCATAATTTAACAAGCGAATTTTACGTTTCACCAATTGTTGAATGGCACCAAATACAGCCATTATAGGACCATTTCGCCCGACAGCTGCACCAATGAGTTCTTGGTCTTGAGAAGAATCCATGAGTTTGACAGTTGCAGTAACCATATCACGAGTTCCGGAGACAACCTGAATTGATTGCAAGTCGAATCTAGATGCACTTCCAGTAGTAACTTGATCAAATATCAAAGCCAAGAGATCATGATCCGTGACGTTCTTTTTAGCATCTGCCAAATTCTTAAATCGATCAAAAGCTTTATTGAAGTCATCTTCATTCATATTAGAATAACCAAGCTGTTCAAGTCGGGATCGAAAAGCATTGCGCCCTGAAAGTTTGCCCAACACCAAATTTGTACTGAAGATGCCCACATCCTCTGGACGGATGATTTCATAAGTTTGTTTATTCTTCAGCACACCATCTTGATGAATACCAGATTCATGAAGGAATGCATTGGCACCCACAATTGCCTTATTTGGTTGTATCACCATTCCAGAGAGAGATGAGACTAGAGTAGATGTACGGTAAATAAGTTCGGTATTTATGGTGTGATACACTGGATATGAAGAAGGATGAGTATGGATATTCATTACGACTTCTTCAAGAGATGTATTGCCTAAAAGAAAATTTAAAAGTTAATGTTATGATTGAATCTTTTGTCTGATAAATTCCATTGATGGGTCAGTATCATCTTCAAAAAAGTACAGACACGTGACCATATTTGCGACGTTCCAAAAAACAAGCTCATTTAAGTTAGGGTTAGCATTTGCATTGAGGTTGAGTGTTAATAAGATAGATAGTAAAATCGATAAGGGAAGCTTTTTGTTAAGGCACCAAAGGTGGTTTCCTATGCTGTTTTTTGATTTACAACTGATTTTTGAATTCCCTTATCGTGTTACGTTACACCTGATCTTGAAATATAATTGGTTGCGCTACAAAAGATCACGTGACCGTACTTTGTTGACACGTGATAATTGGTGGTATGTCCATTTACGCCACACCACGTACGTGAATATTTACAGCGACATTACCAGCACGTTCGCCAATACCATTGATTGTCATTTCTACTTGTCTAGCGCCATTTGTAATTCCGGACAATGTATTGGCAGTAGCAAGACCCAAATCATTATGACAATGTGTAGACCACACTACCTAAGGTTAATCGTAAAAAAAAAGACAAGACATTCACATATATGATTTAAAAAATAAAAATAAAAATAAAAGATAATTAATTACTTTGTGACCTCCAGGTGTATTCTCAATTAAATATTTAATTAATGCACCATAATCTTTAGGACTAGTGTAGCCAACCGTATCTGGGATGTTTAAAGTAGTTGCACCAGCCTCGATAACTTTTCCCAAGAGTTGACACAAGAAATCCTTATCAGTTCTTCCAGAATCTTCAGAGCTGAATTCTACATCATCACAAAGACTCTTTGCATATGCAACTGCTGAAGCAGCACGTTTAATACATTCATTACGATCTATCTTTAGTTTATACTTAAGGTGTATATCCGATGTAGCCAGGAAAGTATGAATTCGATGTAGTGGCGCCAAAGATACAGCATCATAACAACGTTTAATGTCTTTTTCAGTGGCACGTGCAAGGCCAGCAATAATCTAATGTTGCATTATACAAGAATAATTAACATCATCGTGCGCGCTCTCAATTATAAAATATATCAAAAATTGCTAACCATAGGTTTGCCAATTTTTTCTCGACCATGCATGAGAGGGCCAATCTCCTTTGCAATGCGTGCAACGGCATCAAAGTCACCCTGTGATGCAATTGGAAAACCGGCTTCAATCACGTCAACTCCAAGATTTGAAAGATGTCGCGCAATTTCTAGTTTCTCGTCCGATATAAAGTTGACACCGGGTGACTAAAGTGTTTTTTTTGTTTAATAAAACAATTAATATAGCTTCAACCACGTCAGCATAATAGAATTGATTAATTGTTTAACAGTTGTTTGACTAATTACCTGTTCACCGTCGCGTAAAGTTGTATCAAAGATTATCAATTTATCTTGTGACGCTGGTTGAGCATAGTGCCGTTCCTGTGCAAATAACGAACATGGTATCGAGCGATGACCCTTAATAGCCAGCTTTTTCGCGGGCAAATTAACAAGTTGTTTCGTAATAATTGAACGATAAACTGAAAAATTTTTAGCAAACATTTTTTTTTTTTGTTTATGGCAGGGGTTTTTTTTTAGATATATATTTATATCGATATCTACTAATTTGAAAGATATCGGACCAATTATATTTAACAAGGATTAAAAAAAATTTTTTTGATATAATCTTCCCTTTATGAGTCATAATGTGACTCATAACATCATATATTCCGTCGCAATACAAAACGGTAAAATAAAGGTGACTCATATCGATATATCGATATCGAGATTGCCAAACAAATAATAAATTAAAATTACCAGTATTCAAATATTCCATTTTTATTAATACGTATGAAATTACATTAATCACGTGATACGTGTTTACCAGATCATTCATTCATTGTTCAAACTTTTCATCCTGAGTACTTGACTCAGTAAGAGGTAATTGTCCATCGAAATCTTTACGTTTAATCCCTTTAGACTCTCTTGCATTCCTTTTTCCGATCCAATATTGGTATAGTAGTGAATTAGATTTACCTAACCGGCTCATATATTGTTCCTGTTCCTTTTTGATTCCAAAGACACTTGGAGCATTATATTGTAGATATGGCACAGGACCACTATTACGGTTATCATCATTAATGTCCGGTGTTTGGGATCTACCGAAATCAGAAAAACCACGTTGAGGACGACGCCCCCCAAAACCACCTCTAACACGATAATGCTGCCCACGAGTTCTCATGGACATTTGTTGAGATAAGTTGGTGGATTCTGCTCCATCCATCTCTTGTTGTTCTTTGTATGTCATCGAACTGTATTGATCTAATTGTTTCCATCCAATTTGCGTCTCTTTAGTTTCCTCTTTTGGATTTAATATTGTTTCCGTCGTTAAATTGCTAGTGATGTTTGGTAAATCAGATGATTGTGGTATAGGTAGCGGCTTATTTTCCGTACCATCAGGTCTTACACGCCCAGTCATGATCTCATGCATCTATAAAAATTACAAAATGTAATTAAATAATTATGCAACTTAAATAACAACATAGCATTACTATTCATAGAAAGATCGAAATTCACAACTATACACATATACAAATAAATGAATAATAACCTCAGCGTGTTCTGGAGACGTGGATTGAAAGGCTTCTGAAATTATAGGGATCAACTTCAATAGTGCAACTGCATTTTTTTGACTAAAAAAAACAATATATATACATATTTAATGCAATATTGTTGATATCAATAAAAAAAAAAGCATTTATAATACTTTGTAAATGAGTCAGAACCCCTTCCAAGCGCAAATAATCGATCCAGTATCTGTTGCCAATCAAATTTAAATGTTAATATCATGAGCGAAAACAAACAAAAAAGATATTGAATTTGAAATTTATTATATGCATACATTGTTTGAGATTTTGGCATAATCATTAGGCGGCGTCTCAACACAAAGAAGTTTTTTTAATTCGGACAGTATATCATGGACAAGTGTAGCCTGCTTACGCGTTAAAGAATAAATATTGGTCGCAATTTAATAGAAATAATCATACATAAATCAAATAACTCACTCCTTCAGATAAACTGCTCTGCAATTTGAGTATTATGTCGTTGTTCGAACTTAACGCAATTTTAAGCCATCTTGTTTCAATATCCAAAGTCTGCGTGCTTTTAACCTCATGTCCTGATACTTTGATAATTTTATTTATAGGCCTTCGATTAACCAAGTTTGGTTTAATAATAAAAGGTTCAAAGAACTTGAAGGGGAAACAAAGTTAAATAGTTTTCAAAGTATGTAAATTTTAGACAAAAAAGCCAACACCGACTCATTAATATAGAGATAAGTACCTGAGAATACATAGAGATATCTAATTTAGGCGAAACCACAAGTTGAGAAGGAACTTCAAAATTGATGGCATCGAGAAGATGGGCATTTTTTCCATGATTGATGTGTTGGCAATGAACATACAATGCACCTTTTTACATAATAATAATAATAAAGGTATAAACACTTGTGATTAAAACTAAGTAAAATATTTACACTAAATGTTACCTTCACGAAATATTAGAATATGTGAAAAAAGCGGCTTTATTGGTGGAGAATTTTCACTCCGAATCGTAGACTGATTATTACTATTTGCAGATAATGAAGGATCTGTTAAAGCATAAATTGCACCTAAACGAAATAATACATATGAATTTAAGTATTTATTACTTTTTTATCTGTGATATTTAAGTCAAACCCACACCTTTAGCTAAGCTAGTGATTAATACACGAGTTGGCACCGATATCTGTTTTTTAAATAAAAAATAAAAATAAATAAATAAATATATATATTAGCATAGAAAAATGTATAACTTTTCATAATATCACTTACGTCTATAGGCGTAACCATATGAGAACAACGGGTAATCGTTCCTTCTGATTATTTCATAAAATGATTAGGAAAGTAATGACAGCAAGATAACATTATCACAAAACTCACCTAGGCTGTAAAGTTTTTGTTTAATCCATTTGACAATGGTTTGTCGATCTTTAAAATAGTCTGGCTCAAATAATCGCGGTTTTGATGCATGTCCAGCTGTAATGGATGAGTTACCAGGCTTATGGTTATTTGCTTGATAAAGCAATTCTATTTCATATGTTGTCTTTGTGTTGTCACTTTTCTTTAAAAATATAAGGCGGAATATTTGTCAGACCTTGCCAAATTCAAAGGAAAATAAAGTAACAAGATATCTTTATTAAACGGTAGAAACCTTCATAGGCACTTCCAGCAGTCGCAACGTATGTAAATTATGGTGCAATTGAACTAAATGTAGCATTGAACGAGTAAGACGTTTCCGGCCGGGTAAAATATTATAAATTGTTGCAGAAAATTCTGTGCTTAAATTTTCCACATGAATCTACACGAAAAAATTTTGTTAATACATTATTAGCAAGTACGATTGAAAAGGAATCGAGATTTACTGATTACCTTTGTCCATGGAATGTCTTCTGATATTATTTCGAATGATGGTAAAACACGTAAAATATCAAAATGACAACGTTTTAAAAGTCTATTAATTGAATAAAAGGTAAATTGTTTTAACCGGATGCAAACCAAAGCTATTTAATGTTATGACAAAGGCACACCGAAATTTATCCTTGAAAAGATTCTCCTGTTGTGCTAAAATGCCACGGATCATGTTCCGAATATCAACTATTTTATGACTCCGAGTTTCTTGATACCTTTTATAACATGAATTTATATATATGTTACGATTCATGTAAAATTTCAAAGAATATCATACCAAAATCAAATATCAACTTGAAAAAAATACCTGAATTGTTGTTCGTCGCCTTTTCCCATCAAAATCAATATGAATCTTGCATTAAATTTTTTGTCAGACTCTGGATCGTTCAAAGCTTTTAAAGAACTTTCTAATGCGTGCGTTAGTCGCGCAGGCGAAGGTGAAACAGAGGTTGGTGATATAAAAGTAAAATTGTCGGCAATCTTTAATGGTTACAAGAAGTCAAATTAATCAAGGAATAATAAATTTACGCGTCAAAACAAAGATCTATACCTGTTTTAAATTTTGTTCTTGCCATGTGTTTAGTATACTGCGTTCCAACGGTACACCTGCGATGTGAACGGACACCTAATGAAAAACAGAATAGTTAGGGACATAGGGATAGAGATCATAAAGATCATAAAGGAAATCGATATAATAAATACTTACAGGACGTGTACTATTGCTTGTGTCAAATAAATCGAACACGACACGACAATATTCTAACGTCGCCTCTACGAAACATGACCATAAAGGACAGGGTGGTACCACGACTAAATAAAGAACGAAATTATTTCTTATGTTTCAAACTACTCTTCATTTCCGTAGAACTTACGGGAATCTTCAAGTTCAGGAACGCACGGTGACTGAGTATCGGGGTGGCAGTCAAGTAAAATTGTAGTACGTTCGTAGAATGTCATTTAGTAAACTTAATTCTCAAATAAAAAAGGATGACTAAATCCTATACAAAATATTCCCATTGGCTAATAAATAATTGATGTTTGATGTACATACGTACATATTTTTATTTTACAGATAGCTTCAAATTGCGATGGTTGATACAACCAAAATTCAGCAACTTCGTTCCTACTTAAATTTAAAAGCTAAAATTACTGCTTCCGACGGTCGTGTATTTCATGGAACTTTTATGTGCATAGATAAATATAAAAATATCATTTTGTCACAGACTGAAGAATTTCGTTCAAGTAAGTTTTCTCTAGAGCCTTTCTTGGTACAGTCAAGCCTCCCTAAATGCATAACCCAAGGGCCTATATGAAAAAATCGAAAAATCTTGCATTTAGAAAAGTATCACATTTAGGGGTAAACAAGATCATGCATTTAGAGATTTTTCATAAACTATGCACTTATGGAAGTTGCATTTAGTGATCACAAGTTAGACAAGAATATTCGCATTGAATTGATTTTTATACACTTTATAGATGAAAAAAGATTCGTTGGCCTAGTTATGATCCCTGGAAAGCATCTCGTTAAAGCCGAGATTGAAGATTTGGACCTTTCACCTCAATATACTTGACTGTAACTTAAATAAATTTTCCAAGCATCCAGTTTTTTTACAGTGTATACTAATAAACAATATTAAAGCATTATGAGTCTAAAAAGTGATAAATACTATTATTGGCATGTAAAAATTTATTTATCATTTATGATAGTTTTGACCCTATATTATATAAAACAGTCGTTAGTCTTATAAATTTACGCTTTACGAACTTTATTATAGAATTATTCAAATCATCACCTTTCAGCTGTACATTCCTAGTAGCTGAAGGTATGGTAACTGTTATGCCATTCAGATCTTTTCTCATAACAATTTGACATCCAAGGCGGGATCTATTTATTATTTAAACAAATCGGTCGTTATATAACAAATAGTGTTAAGAATAAAATATTCCGAGAATCCTCACGTTTCGGTTAATCCAAATGCTAAATCCAACATATCATTCTCTTCGTCTGTTGGTTCTTCTAGTTTTTTATAATATTCTGGAGCTACGATCACATGACACGTAGAACAAGCCAGTGATCCTTCACATGCACCTATTAAAAGTTAATGCTTCTATGGTTAAAAAAATATATATAGACCAGAGAGCTAATATCATTAAAGATAATTACATTCAAGCTCAATATCGTCATGAGTATGCGAAATATCCATAATACTTTCTCCTTCATTAGCAACTATTGTTTTTTTATCACCTTCTGGCGTAATAAAGTTAATCGTAACCCTACCGAACATGAAATTTTATGTCAATACAATTAGAGTTGTTAGGCGAAACCTAGGGGTTTCGCCACTGGCGAAAGGCGAAACTGGTTTCGACTTTCGCCAAAAAAAATTTAAAAAGGCGAACTGGCGAAGCTGGCAAAACTGGCGAAACTGGTAAAACTGGCGAAAGGTGGCGAAATTGGCGAAAGGTGTGAAATTGGCGAAAGGTGTGAAACTGGCGAAAGGTGACGAAACTGGCGAAAGGTGACGAAACTGGCGAAAGGTAACGAAACCAATGCGCATATTTTCCGCAATCAGAATTCTCTATAATCGTTAATTGCTTTATTAGTTATTTCACGAGTTAAATGCAATACCTCTGAACCAACTAATAGAAATCCGACTATTTTTATCTGATGAATGTTTTTTTTTGATATAACGATAACATTAGATTATCCAAAATTGTGCAATACAGGATAAAGATAAAAGTAATGTGATTTCAGTATTAAATAAAATAATAGTTCTAACCAATATTTATATTAAAATAAATAATATTAATTGTATATAAGGCCGTTTGTAGTTGATTCTTCAATATAGTCTTATATTTTTTTTTAATTTTTATTTTCTAATCGAATTTTTTACCGAACAGATGGATTGAACGTCAAAGACTGTAGTGAAAGACTAAGCGAAAGAATTTGCAAGAAACGAGAAATAATAAACCACATACTATTTATTGCTTGCATAAATTGCACAAATTACGTTAACACTTGATCAGCAATTAATAAAACCACTAAAAGAAGCAAGTAATGATGTAACTCGCAGGGACCGAAGCCAACAGTCCTCCGTCGATCTTTGCAGAACGATAACACTGGCCTTAGAGAGAATGCAAGGGGATCCCTAAGGTGTCTAAGACCTTCAGGATGCAGAGGGAGGAAAAAAAAAAGATCATTTATACAAACTTGAAGCTAAATGTAGGTCACACCAGGAATATAAAATCACGAGATATATGGCTCACCCACGAACGACCCTAGCGTCGCCCACAAAAAATGGTAGCCGGACAGATCTGCAGGGTACATGTTATTATGTGATTCGGATTTGATTATGGACAATTCAATTTCGATAAACAATAAATATGGTCTCTAAGTTTTTCAAAAGAATTTTTTTAATGAATAACATGAATCGTTTAAAATTTTATTGTTTATACGTTTCTTTTGGTTATATTTGTAGGCAAATTCGATTTTTTTATAAGCATTTGTTTTTTATTTCTACGTTGGACCAGTAAATTAATAATTTCAAAATATGTGCTTCATTTAATACTATAAAAAGCGTTTATGAGGCTAAGCCAATAATCCAAAGGTTGTAATTTATTTAAATTACCAGAAAATATTCAAGGTGTTAAAATATATATTTACTTCATTATCACTATCGTTCTAAAAATATTTAAACTTTAGATAAATTTTTTGCAAGATAAAATTTTATAACTGCATGTTAGGTTGTTCTTGATTGTTCTTTGAACATGATAAACATTTCTTTGATTCCTTTTTTATTCAAAAAATCTTCATTTTTTGAATAGTATGACATCCTGTGTAAGGTTTGGATTGTGATCTGACATAGTAAAAGAAAGACTTATCGTTATTTAAATGTGCTAATAATCAAAGAAAAAAAATTAAATAAATATCAAGTAGAACAAAATTATAAGTAATAGCAGCACAGCATATAACGATGAAAAATTTTTTTATTCGTAAATCCGAATCACATAATCACATGCACCCGGCAGATCTGTTCGATTATTGGGTGACTGCTAACAGGTAGGACCGTTCCGAGTATGCTTCGAATCTGCAAATCGTTACACAAACGATTCATTATCTTATCTTTAAAGTATGCAAAGTGCTCTAAGTAAACTTGAAGTTTTTGTATCATACCTTTTAAATATTAATTTTAGAAAAATTATAAATGGTGACCCATTATTATGGTAACCTTATATAGCAGCTAATTTTTTTTTTTCTTAAGCAGTCATGTTAGTATTTTATTATGATTTTAAACTTATATTTGCAATTATATAACATTTTTAATATCTAAGTTTAGCATTATCTGATTACTTTAATGATATCTAAATGCAACCTGTTATATTACTTCAAACAGAAATAAGCTGCTTGTTTGACTATTTAAAGTTTATTGTATTTTACTATTGAATTTATAATATCTTGCTAGATCTTAGGTTGTACTATTTCTAACAATTGATAAAAAGAGATCCAAATTTTTTTATCTGATATTTAATTAACAATATCAGATACTATTTTATTAGTAATATTGAATAAATTTTTATTTTTTTCAAAACCCAATTTTTTCGCAATCTTATAAGTGATAATTGGATATTTTAAACTTAAATCAATTATATTCTGTTGTTTTAGCATTGTTTTAAATTTTTTACAGACATTTTGTATTGTTTCAAAATTATTAGTTTTAGTCATTATAATAGTTAAATTATTTTATAAATACAAATTTAAAAGTATAGAATTAAATATATTATTATAATAAAATACAATAAAAATTTTATTTTGTAATATATAGTAGATAAAAAATAAATATAATAATTAAATAAAAATATCTTAGTTAATAAAATTCACATGTTTGAGAATACACAATATGCATACATATAACCCACTTACACTTCCAAATACTATTGCTAAAATTATCTCAAAACTTCTATTAGAGGATCTAAATAACAATATTCAAATTAACTACATATGATATAAAAAAATTTATAATGAGCTTTATAAAAGATATAAAAACTTTAATACAAAATTACTATAATTTATTAAAAAAACTAAATAGATAACATAGAAAATCAGATATAAATAATAATAAAATTGAGTTATATATAATAATGCATTAATAACATTTGATGAGTTCATAAAAGTAAAAAAGTATATATTAAAAAAAATATAATCTTTAGTAAAAGAATTAGAAATGTGCTATTGATCAATATTAAAGAAGATAATTATAAAAACCTATTAGATTTATATAATTTTAGAGAAGATACATTTAAATATATAAAATACTAATAAATTGACATGTCCTTATGTCCATATTTATAATATAATAAAATATATATATATAATATATATATATATAGGCTAGGTACTAAGAAAAGAAATGAAATTGACAAAAAAAAAGATCATCAGAAAATTAATTTTTTTTTTTTTTTTTTTTTTTTGGAGTTAAGGTGAGGTCATGCCTCAGGTCTGTTTATTCGAACATATTGTTA